ATAGGTGGTGCAATGGATAGAATGCTGAGTTAAAATCTTGCCTCACTTGTTAACTGTATGACCCTGGGCAAGTAACTTAACCCTGTTTGCCTCAGTTTCTTCATATGTAAAATTATCTCAAGGAGGAAATGGCAAACTACCTAGTATCTATGCTGAGAACCCCAAATGGGATCACAAAGAGTCAGCCATGACTGAACAACAATTATTCAACCAGTTTTTGAATCCAATACCATCATCTAACTTATGATGTTACATTTTGCTCCCAAGAACAGCATGATTTACTTTTCTAAAAATTTAGCAAATACTAATAGCTAATATTTAGATAAACTAGTTAGATTTACATTACCTAGATTCTTACCTAGATTTATATTGCGGTAACTACTAGTGACCATGTAAAAGAAAAACAAAAGAAGGTTAATACAGTGTGACCTGTTCTTGATGAAGTTATATTGGTTCTTTGTGATCACTGATTTCCTTTTCCACATGTTCACCTTTAATAATACATTCCAGAGTAAAGTGAAACTCATTGACCTATAGTTTTCAGATTCCTGCAACAGAAAGAACAATATATTTCGAATCAGAAGACCTCAATTTAAATCCCAGTTGTTCTGTTTACTAATTTATGTCACTTTGGGTAGGCTACATATCCTCTGGGTCTCAGTTTCCTCACCTATAAAATAAAAGTTGGACTAGATTATTTTTGACAGCCCCTTTCAGCTTTAAATCTATAAATTTATGATGCTTTCTTTTCCCTTGCTAGAAAATGAAACTTTCACCTTTCTCTAATTCTGAGAGTTTCCTGTTCTTCACATTCTTTCAGTAATCACTGGTTCAGCAATCACACAAGGTAGTTATTTCAGTAAACCTAAATGCCAGTTCATTTGGGCCAGCTGATTTGAATATATCAAGGTCGACTGGGTACCCCTTTACTATCTCTCCTATTTGTCGGGTATCAATTCAATTATAGAATAAAAAATTTAGATTTGAAAAGGGAATGAGTAACCAGTTAATCCTACCCATATCCCAAAAGGAATTCCCATTACACCTACTCCTTATTTGCCATTTTTCTTCTGTCCTTTCCAGGTCAAAGGTATTCCTTTATGGGTAAGAAAAGAGAAGTAAAATTTCTCAAAAAAAGAGTTGAGCAGCTTTGTCCTTTCTGACATTTTGATCACTGTTCCATTCACCCCCATCAGTGGTGTTCCTCTTCCTTTTATCCTCATCTTTTCTCCATTTGCCCCTCCCCGAACCCCACCTCTTTCATTATTCTTAGCATTGTCTTTTAACTTTAGTTTATTCTGAGCATAGCTTTTCTCAACACTGTTCTTACCAGACTGTCTTATGCTTATAAATTAATTGTCTATAACCTCTCCTTGCTTTCATTTTCTATACATGTCTTTTAAAAAAATCCAAGTGGGTAGTTGAGTTCTGGACACACCTATATTGGTTTCTCTATACAACTCTCCCTTTCCCTTCTCATCAGAATTGTCTCTCTTTTCATTCTTGAGAGCTTTCTCTCTGAAGATGTGCTGGTAAATATTTAACAACCAGACCTCTGAAAAAAAATGTACACATGACATACTTTTAAATATAATCTGCATTATTAATATTTTGGCCATCATTTTTAAAATCAGTATAATAATAAATCAAGCCCTGATTTGTAGTTTGCCAGTTTCTGGGGAATAAAGGCTCATGCTGAAAAATTTAGCAACCTACTCTTGTGAGCTGGTATTAGCTAGTTCCAGTATGCCCTTGTTTCTATCTCTCTTAGGCAGACTCACTTTGCAGGTCCTATGCTCTCCCTGATACCTTTGAAATTTCCTTTCCCAAAATTTAGGGTGCATGTCAAGTTAGGTCTTGTTTCCTTTTCTACCTCTATTATACATCCTAATAAAGGGCGACCACTTACCCCCAAAGTTTCCATTATTTCCATCTCAGTAGCCGATTTCTCCTAAACTCACTGGGAAAGGGAGAAGAATGACTTGAAAACTGGTAAATTAAAGAAATCTGGATCAGGTGATGTAGAGAGCCTCAAAAGAGAAGTTGCTGAAGACCTGTATGTGGCAGTGGGAAGCAAAGAATATTCCTTCTGCTCAAACGAAGGGCAGAAGATGGAAGGTATGAGAGAAGAAATCACTTGGACTAGAAATGATGGCCAGAGATGTACTTTATGAAGATTACCAGACTTAAGTGAATATAAGAAGCTTGTTAGATTGTGAAGAGATCTAGAAGGAAGAGTAGATTGCTAATGATAGAATGAAAGTTTCAGAGAGCATAATTAAAGGGGCCGAGGAGGAAAGGGACTAGGGAAGGGTAGAGTTGAGATGGATTGCGATGAGAACAAAAGGAAAAGCATCAGGGGAAGGGTGGTTGCTTTTTGTTTGTTTACTTAGCAGATGGTTCTGCATCACATGGATTAGGGAGAAAGATGTAGGAGTTTTCTGGCCATAAGATGAGAAAGTACAACTTGACTGGAGGTCCATCCTTCAGGATCCTGCTTTGATGGAAGCCTATGTTGAGGAAGGTGATATTTTGCAAATGCTGGGGAGCTGACACTGGAGGCAGTGAGGAGTGTGTGCTAAGGATCTGGGTCAATAAATTCCTGGTGATTCCTGGTGAACCCAGGGACTAAGGTAAACTTAAATGCAATACCAGTTCTGCAGCCTCATCCAGATACTAAGTAATGTGGGATGAAGGGAGTTCTGATCCAGGATACCTGAAGAGGGGAATGGAGAGAGGTGGGTTTCTTCCCAGCAATGACTGCCATACATTGTTTCACAGTTCTCTGTGGCCTACAGCAGAGGTGTCAGATATGCTGTATGTATGCACGTGCACATATGCACACATGTGTTGACTGTTTTAGGATTGAAATCTATCACTTCTGTTCCTTGCATAGGATCAAATCTTAGCAAAACTATGAAGAAGGCAGTTATCTTTCATATCCTCACTCTCCCTTTTGTGCGACTGTTATAATTTCAGAGAAAGCCCTTTCCATTTTCAGGTACCCAACTCTCTTTTGCTCTCTATTCTTTTACCTTTTTAAAATTTATTCTCAAGGAAGTTTCTGGTATTAGTAATTGATACTTACATTGGGGAATCTGTTTCTTAAACAGTTAATTCTAATTGTGGATTCAAAGACTTTATCCCCAGGAAAAAAAATTAGGCAAACCTCATGAGAAGATAGGGCAAAAACTTATGGGGTTGAGGTATTTCCCAGGCACCAGTGGAATCATGGTACACAAACTGCTAGGTGGCATAGAGGATAAAGCACTAGGCTAGGAGTCAGGAAGACAAAGAGTTCAAATCCTACCTCAGACCCTTACTAGCTGTTGAGCATGTCTTGTAACCTCTCAGAGCCTCAATTTCCTCATCTGTAACTAAAACAAGGGTTGACAGGGTAGATTTGATGACCTCTGAGACCTCTTCCAGCTCCAAATCTATGACCCTAAGCAGTCTTCTACTTTACTGTTGACAGTCTTGCCCCTGTACTTACCTTTATTTGTGGGGGGGGAAAAAAGCTTAAACCATAAAGCATTTATTAAGCTTATATTACTATAAGCCAGGCATTGTGCTAAGGCCTGGAAATACAAAGAAAGGCAAAAATGGTCTTTGCCCTCAAGGAGCTTACATTCTAATGGTGGAGAAACATACAACTGGGAATACACAAGATACACACACACACACACACACACACACACACATAGATGGTAGATGGAAAGTATTCTTAGAGGGAATGCACTAATTTTAATGGGGACTGGGAAAAGCTTCTTGAGAAATGAAATTCTTTCTATTTAACCATTCCTAGAAGTTCTGCCCATAGATCTTAAGTCGGACCTCTGTGTCTTCATAATGATGAATTTATGTAAGTTCATAAAGCTAAAAGGTACTTGCTCCATATTGCCTGTATAGGGATTAGTGAGAATTCATACTGAGTGAATACAAATGACTTTGGGCCATCTACTATGATAATATATGTTAAGCTTTCAAGCTCCATTTTCCCTTCTCCAGGTCTAGGATGAAATCTGAACCATTTAAGTTTAGAAATGATTCATGAATATGACCAAGATCTTCTACATAACAGAAGATTTCAAGTTAAGATGGAATGATCCCTCTTCTTTATTCAGTCACAATGGAAGAACCAAGGAACACTTACTAAAACTCATTACCTAAGCCACTTTATAGACTTTATCTAGAAAATTCATCTTGACAAGAAATGATCAAAGTTGTCTTTTATAACTTAAATGGAACTGAATGTATTTAAGAATGAGTATTAAATGGACAGTTGTATTAAAACAGCAAATCAGTGTAAATGTATGAAAATGAAAAGCAAACAAAAGAGCTCAAAATTTACTAGAGGAAGGCAATAAAACTAAGGTGAATTTTCATTTTTCAAAGATATTATATTCATATATGTAACTACTATTTCTGAGTAGGGAATGCTCATAATTTTTGTAATAGGAAGTTGGTTACATTTTCGCCTGGCACTTTTTGTGGCTGCCCATGGGGCAGCTAGGGAGTACCTACTGTTTTCCACCGTCCCGTCCCTTCTTTTCCACTTTAACTTAAGGTCTGGAGCTGTCCAGCGGGAGCCCAGAAGCCCCCGGCATACAGAACGAGCCCGCAGGAACGCCAGCAGGCGCTCGCCCCTCCCTAGCTCCGAGCGTCCCGTCCCGGGGCTTCCAGGCGCGCCCGGCCTCCGCGTTCCTCCCCGGGTGGGGCAGGGCACGCGTCGCCATAGCAACCAGGAGCCGTCTAGGGAAGCGGCGGGAGCGGTGGCGGGCAGAGCCAGTCGGAGCCAGGCCCGTAACCGCCGCGGCAGCCGCCGCCACCTCTGCTGCTGTTGCTCCGGCCGGGCCGGGGGGAAAGCTGGGGAACAGACGGGCCGAGCCTGGCCAAAGAAGGGACAGCTTGGGCCGGAGCCGGAGCTGGGGCCAGGGCCGGGGCGGGGGTCGAGGCCAGGGCCACGACGCGCTACCCGGCAGCTTACGCGGAGAGGCCGAGACCGTGGCAGGCTAGATCGACTTTACCCTACTCCTCTTCCCCTCCTCCGGGCAGCCGAGAGCTGGGGGCCTCCAAGGTACCTGACCGCGCTCCCAGCCCCAGGGGGCGAGGGAGACCCAGGCCCAGCCTGCCAGGGATCTCCCCCTCTCCCTCGGGCCGGACCCCCTGCGCCGGTGGGGGAGGATGAGCAAAGTTGTGACTTCGTGCGGATTGGGGGTTTGGGAGGTGATGTCAGTGGAAACGTTTCGTTTGCCATTATCTCAGGCCAACTAACCCTCCTTCTCCTCTCACCTCCTTAATGCTCCTCCATCTTCTTCCTCCTTCCTCCTCCTCCTCCTTCTACCTCCTTGGGGCCATCTCCTGTCGTCCTGATCTGTATCTGACCACTGGACCAGATGGCTCCGGAGGAGAAAGTGAGGCTGGTGACTTTGCACAGCCCTCCCTCACTTAAATCCAATTCACTTACAAGTCATGACATCACCTTCCTGATGTCATGGTCCTCTAGGAGAACTAAGGACAAACCACAACAATGACAACCTTCTACCTCCTTAATACTCCTCCATCTGCCTCCTCCTTTCTTCCTTCCTTCCTCCTCTGTCTTCCTTCTTCCATCTTTCTCCTTCTGCATCCTCCTCCTGTCTTCCTCCTTCATTCCCATTCTCCTCCATCCTCTTATTTCTCCGTTGTCTTCTATCCCCCTCCTCCTTGATTGTCTTCTCACCTAATTTTTTCTCCCTCTCCTCCCCCTCCTTTCCCTCTCCTCCCCTCCTCTTCCTCTTCTTTATAATTCTCCAATTTATAAAATTAGAATATTTTTCTCTTTTCTCCATAAACGGCCTTTATATTATATTTTGTTTGCATTTTGTTCTCACAGATTTAAATATACATCTTTGTATAAATGAATGTATATAGATAAACATCTATACATATACACACATATATTTGATGGTTGCTGGAACAAACAACTCTGAAATAATTAGGCAGTGGGTATTTTTAGAGTTTAGGGGCTTAATTCTTTGAAAGTTGACTTCTGAAATAAACTCTAGAATTCAAGACTTCAAAAGTTGTGGCATTCAGTGGCTAGAGTACTTGAATTTGAGTCATATCTTTTGAGCCCCCTAGGTCAGTGTATTGGTATTCTAGAAGAGGAACAGAAAGATAAGCAAAGAAGTTTACATGAAGCTAACATAATCAACCAAGAACTTTTTTTTTATTAACCATATAACAATAATAGCATTTATATAGTACCTTAAGGTTTGAAAAGTGCTATACACATATCAGGTGACCACCTAATATTCCAGGCACTGGGTATATACAAAATCAAGTAAAACTTAGACTTTGCTACCATGTAGCTTATATTTTATGAGGGCAAGTAACATAATAAATACAAAATAGTTAAATACTTGATAGTTGGGGAGGTCAGGCACTAGCAGTTGGGAAAATCGGGAAAGGTATTTTATAGAAGGTGGTTCTTGATTCTATGAGGTAGAGCATATCTGGTATTGGAGTGGAGATAAAAGGAGGGAGAAAGAGAGAGAGAGACAGAGAGAGACACACATACACAGAAAGAGAGAGAGAAAGTATGAGAGAAACAAGTCCAGTTTGTATGGACCATATGTGTGGTAAGGGGAGTACATGTTACACTAAAGCTATAAGATTGGAGGCAAATTGTAAAGGGCTTTAAAAGTCAGAGTTTGTATTTTATCCTTAAGGCAAGTATAGAGCCTAGCATTTTATTGGGAAGGGGACTGACTTGGTCAAATCTGCAATTAAAGAAAATAACTGTGGCAATTGTATGGAGGATAAATTAGAGGGAAAAAGACTTTAGGCAGGGACACCAATTAGAGCAGCATTGCAATAGTGTAGGCAAGAGGTGATGAGGCCTGAACCACTGAAATGGTGCTCAAATGAAAATGAGGTGGGGTCAAATGAAAAGATGTTATAGAGTTAGAAATGACAAATTTGGCCATTAGTAAGATTGGGAGGGGCGGGGAAGGTGTCAGAGAGAATGAGACATTTAGGATAAAAAAGAAATTACTAACCTGGAAGACTGGCAGTCTCAACAGAAATAAGAAAGTTTGATAGAGTTTGAATAGAAAATTAATGACTTTTGTTTTGTTCATATTGACTTGGAGATGCCTCTGTGACATCTAGTTTGAAATGTCCAATAGGCAGCTAGTGATGTGGGTTTAGTGATGTGGACAAGAGTCCAGGAGAGAGACTGGTACTGGATATGTAGATGTAGAAATCATCAGCATAGAGGTGATAATTAAACCCATAGGAGCTGATGTGGACACTAAGAGAATAAAGAAAGGGAGGAGGACTCATGCCCATACTTTTGGAGAATACTTACAGGGGTGTGGTAGAGATAATGAGCAGCGAAGGAATTTGAGAAGGAGCAGTTAGAAAGGAAGGAGGAGAACCAAGAGAGAACAGTGTTATGAAAATGGAGTATCTAAAAAGAAAGGTACAGCACAAAGGTCAAGAAGGATGAGGACTAAGAAAATACTCTTAGATATGAAAAGTAAAAGTCTTGGTAACTTTGGAGAGAATAGATTCAATTGCTTATGAGGCTGAAGAGAGGCAATGAAGGTAGACAGCTTTTCCTAGAAGTTTGGTTGAGAAAGGGAGGTGATATCAAATGATAGCTTGAGGGGATAGTAGGGTCTAGTGAGAATTTGAGGGAGGCAGGCATGTTTGAAGGCAGTAAGGAAGCACTCAGTGGCTCTGGGGAGAGAGTGAGGGAAGGAAAGAGCAAGAGAGCAAGAAGATGAACACGATTGAGGTTTTGGTTTGCTAGAGAAGATGGAAGGGGATGGGATGAAGGGCACACATAGGTAAATTAAGTCACTTAACAGTTCTGTCTATAATACCATATTGAAGAGAAAGAAAGTCACATTTTCTAAGGAAAATTTAAAATTGATAATTTTGCCAAGAGCCAATATTCTACAATTTTCTAGATTAATAAATACTTAGACACTCTAGATTATTATTATTTTTCCCCTTTCTTAACAGGTTAAAAGATCAAGAAACTTAGGTCACATGGAGTCACGTCTTGAAGTAGAGAACCCAGACCAGAATGTAATGGGGTAAGTGCTGAAGTTTCCTTTTGTAGTTGAAAAAATTCTACTTAATAATAATAATGATAAGAGCTCACATTTAGATAACACTTTAAAATCTATAAAGTCTTTTCTTTACAATACTTCATTAAGATAGGTAGTACAAGTTATCTCCATTTTATAGATAAGGAAACTGAAGGCCAGAGAGATGAACTAGTTTGCTCATAGACACAGCCAGTAAGTGGCAGAGCTGGGACTTAAGCAAACCAAGCTCTTCTGACTTTAAGTCCAATGCCTAATTGTTTCAGATTTTCTTTGTTGAAGGAGAAGCTTGATTGTAGCATGAAAGAACAGTGGTCTTGAAATAGGGAGACTTCACTGTAGTCTTAGCTCTTCCACTAACTAGCAGGATGACTTTGGGGGAAGTTATTTGACTTTCTCTGGGCTTCAGTTTCCTCATCTGTAAAATAGAGCTAATACTAGCATTACTTACCTTATGAGGCTGAGATGAAAGTATTTATAAACTGCAAAGTGTTATACAGATGTGAATTACTTTTAAAGTAAGGAGATTACAAGATTTTTCACTGATCAAAATATAGCACTAAAACTGGATGTTGGTTTTGTGTATATGTCTGTATATGTAAATACACGCACATGTGCTGCTGATGTAATTAATATATATTATTCTATAAAATACATATGTCATATTAACTATACATGTATATAAAATTAAGTGAAGAAAATAATATCATTATTCTTCACCTTTCTGGCCTCAATTCCTGCATTTCTCTCTCTTCTCCCCTTCTCTCTATACATACACATAAAATTATATATATAGAGAGAGAAAATAAATAAAATTTTATATATGTAAAGATATATATGTATATATATATACATATATATATAGAGAGAGAGAGAGAGAAGAGAGAAGAGAGAAGAGAGAGATGGGGAGGAAAGGTACAAAAATTTAAGCAAGAAGGATGGAGAACAATGATATTGCTTTTCCCACTTAATATTTTTTTTAGCCCAAATCAGTTTGCAAAGCAAACCTAAAAGATTCTTGGGAATTTCAAACCCTGGGTTCATACAGTTATCTGGAAACAGTGGACTCTGATTTCAACAATGTACTACAATTCAACCTCAGACATGGGGAACTATAAAAGACTTAATATTAATCTAGAAGCACTTTGCCTGACCTTTATTCATTAGCCCCTTAGCTGGGTGCCTAGGCTTTATAGTCTCTGGCCATGATTAAGGAAGTGTCCACTTGTCCTTGGGCCAAGGCTTTCTGATGACCTCACCTTAATAGAAAGGAGTTAAGATGGCTAGGAGATGGCCTTGAAGAAATAAAGCCCAGAAGCTGGGAGCATAGAGAAGCTTGGCAAATGCACATCTAGCAGAGATGACAAGCATCAGCCACCACCAAACCCAGCAGAGATAATGAACCCAGCAGTGATCAGGAGGCATATAATAGAACAATATACCTAGCAGAGAAGAAAGATGTTGAAATCACTAGAGACTGTCAGCCGCCTTGCAGCACTGGAGATGTTAGTTGCCAGGACCATACGCCTGTTCCTTGGCCATACGTGTTCTCCATGTGTATGTCTTCCATGTGTAGTCTCTGGTTGTATGTGTTCTTCCTCTATTGGTAGTGGTGTAACCTATGGGAGAATTGGTAGTGGTGTAACTATGTATTAGAACATAGTGGTAATCTTATCTTGCCACTTTCTTTGCTACATTGCTTGATTAAGTGGCTTTTATTTCAGCTAATGTGTCCTCTGGTTGATAAAAGTAAACAGATGTGGGGGCTTATGAGCTATGGCTTTGAATGGATGCTGAACCACTAAAAGCTTCAATCTGACTGAAGTAGCTTTTATTGGGAGTAGAAGGAATTTATTAAAGGCTAAAGTAACTCAAGTTTTGAAGTTCAGTTTAAATGGAAGTATTTCTCCAGCTATCTCTGATAAAACTGTAAATACCATTAGTTAAAATCAACAAGTATAATTCTTTATAATTTTTAAACAAGTGTACTTTTATCTCTATGGGATCTTAAGACTCCAAAGTGCATAATTGACTGCTGGATTATAGTAACTTTGCCCAGGAGTGGCTTTTAGTGTAGGTGGTATGGCTAATGAGAGAACCAAGGAGACTTCCTGGAGATCTCAAGCCCATTCTTCGTAGCACCTTGCTTCATAGTGTTCCTCAACTCTGGCTCTATTTTTGGAGATCAAATTAACATAAAACTATTCAGAGCTTTAGGTGTTGAATGATAAGGAATGATGTGTTGGGAGCACCCTGATGGTATTCCTGTTTCTTGTTAAGGGCAATTTAATTCTATAAACATTAAGTACCACTGTGTGTGAGGCACTGTGTTAGGGATACAAGGGCAAAAATAAAGCAAGCCCTTTTACATGCTTACATTCTACTTTTGGGCAGGTGTCGGGGGCTGGGGGTGCTCTCTGGCATGTGGTAAGTTGATAGCTTGAGGCCTTTCAGATAGGGAACCTAAGTTTGGGTCTTGGAGGAGAGGCACCCCAGTCTGGACTTGCTGCTGCCTGCCTTCATTCTGGCTACATGATAGAACCTAGTGACATTTTTTTCTCTCTCTTTCTGTGTGTGTGTGTGTGTGTGTGTGTGTGTGTGTGTGTGTTTGCTTTATTTCTCACCAAAGCTCTATAAAAGCAAGCTGTGAGATGACAGCTGTTGTCAGAGATCTCCAGAAGCACCTACTTCACTTGCAATCAGAATTCAGGTGAAAAAGAGATCTTTAAAGACATTGAAATTGAACTTTGCCTAGGGTGCAGTTTTACCTAAGATTGGTCTTAAGCGGCAGTAAAGCAGAAAGAGTTTGGGTTTTGTCAGTCAGTCAAAAAGCATTTATTAAATTCCTGATATGTGCTAGGCAGTGTACTAAGTATTGGGGATACAAAGGGGAGGGCAGGAACCAGCTCCTGCCCTCAATGAGCTTACATTCTAAAGGTGAAAATAACATGTAAATCACTAGGTGAATAAAGATATATACAGAGCAGTAGAAAGATAATCTGAGTGGGGAAGGAACTACCAGCTGGCAGAGGTAGGGGTAGAGTAGGAAGAGAGTACAGGAAGGGCCTCCTGCAAAAAGTAGTGTTTCAGCTAAGTTGAATAAAGCCAGGGAAATGAAGAGGTGGAGGTAAATGGGGCATAGTATTACAGGTATGAAGGACAGCCAGTACAAAGGCATGGCAAGAGGATATTACAGGGTAGATGGAGAGGAACTGGTCTTGATAAGGAGAAGGACCAGCTCTCTACTTTGAGAAAAGAAAATAATGATAAAAACATACATACGTGAGTACATCCTGATATGTATAAACATTCAGCCCAATCTACCAAATTCTCTTTGTCTAAACTACCATAAAATGAGAACTGATTTGTAGAATGATGATTTAAATGCTTATCAAGGCAGGAACGTTGGCCAATACATTTTAGAAAGGTTTTCAACCATGGCAGTAGAAAGAAACTGGAATATTCATTTAAACAGAAAGTCCTTTTTCCTTAGCACTCTTAATTATTTTACATCATGAAAATCTAGAATTCAAGGTATTTTTATGCTGGAGTATATCTCATGCAATGGTACTGAATGGCAAAGTGGGACAGTAACCCAACCCTTAGTAGACATTATAATTGCCTAGATAAAGTGTGGAAAGAGAAGTTGTAGCAGATGTATATTTAGACTAAGAATCTCTCATTATAAGGGAAGTGCCCATCGGATGAAAGAGCTCCTATAGCTTTCTCCCATTGCCAGAGGACATAGGAACTCTGATATCATTCAATTAATGTTTATAAATGTACAGCCATATAAGTATTACAACTACATGATGGTTCATATTACAATGGTCAGAATGTTGTGAAACCAACTCTTTTCCACAAAAATAGTTATCAGTTCATTTTCTTTAAGTTTTCCCCTCCCCCTTTGGGATTTTCATTCCAATTTTATAATGAAACTCACTGGGAAAATGGGGAGAATAGGGACCGAAACTGTGATTCCACTGGGCACATTCTCTGCAACTTAACAATTTTGAGAGATTCCTGGCACACTGAAAGATGAAATGCTATGTCTAGGGGTCATACAGTATGTGTCAGAGATGGAACTTGAAGCCTAGATCCTCTTGGCTTTGAGGCTGGCTCTCTATATGCTATCCCCTCCCTCTCAATAGGAAAACAGAATCTTTTTTCAACTGAAGTTTTTTTTATGAACAACTATGCCAAAATAGGTATCTTTCATAAAGCAAGGGATACCAGAATGAAAAATGTGTGTATAGCAAGTATACAAGAGTAGCACCAGAATGAGCGGAGATAAGATCTTTGTTACTGGAGAGAACATTTACATAGATAAAAGAGAGTCATTTATATATTTTAGTATAACAAATTAACTCAGTAGTGAAGTAAAATCTTAAAATGATCACATTTCTTTGGATACATGCTTCTGTGTTAAAAGTGCTTACATTTAGACTAGGAGTCAGGAAGACTCGAATTCAAATTCTGCATCAGTCACTTACTAGCTATGTGTCCCTGTGTAAGTCCCTTAAACCTCTCTAAAGCCCCAGTTTTCCCATCTGTAAAATGAGGATAACTATAACTCATACTCCCGGTGTAGTTGTGAGGAATGAATAAGATAATATTTGTAAAGCTCTTTGTAAACCTTAAAGCACTATATAAGGTATAGTATTTATACATATATAATATACATAACATTTTAATATATAATATATATGTATTTCTCCACTAACCTCTAACTAAAAGTTATCACTTCCTGCAATTATAGATGTAGACAAGAAAACATTGTAATGACAAAGTGTCCATAGTTTTCACCAAAATACCAAATACTAAATAGGGGTCCATGACACACACTCAAAAAGATTAAGAATGCTTGGTTTAGAGAGAGGAGAGCAGGTGGCCCAAGGGAGGTTAGAGAAAGAATATTGAATAAGATCCTGTGATGAAGACAAATTGGTAGGAAGAGAAAACCACAACAGAGCAGGGCTAGGAAAACC